TGCTGTGCTCTTCTGGATCTACTTCAACAAGCCGGAGCTGCTGTGAGTGTACGTAGGGCCTCGATTTTTGAATGCTAGGATATGCGAGGAGCTGCCATTCCAAAGCAGCATGACAGACAAGCATCCCTGGCAGTGACAAAAGGGCGTTTTCCAAGGCCATTGTATGCCTAATGTAGGCTCTTGATTAATAAAACCCCATATGAAGGGGTTGTTCAATCCAAAAGGGGCTGATTTACTTTTAATCAAGAGTCTACGTTAGCCCTTCAGCGAGAACCAGGCTACTCTTGACCAGTTCTTGAGACAAGGCATGAACATGCGTAAACCAAATGAGTTCACTCTGACGAACACATGGAAGTGGACGGCATGGGCCCTGTGAAGACCATGAAATCCTCTACAAGCAGGTGGTTGCCCATTTCCATGTGATGTGCTCGTCGGAGTGCACCCACTTCAAAAAGAATGACATTGGAGAACTTCGCGGAACATCGCGGAACCCGCTGTATTCATCTCGAGAACATCGGCATATCATGGTCTTCGGACTCCTTCCACGCACCAACCCACCAGATTTGCCCGCCGCATCCCGCGAGGTGCGCCACCCACCGCGCCGCATCCCGGCACTCGCCACGGTGCCCACCGCGCCACGTCGTTGCGCCGCTGCGAAAAAAGCCGCGTTTCCGGACACCGGAAGCACCCGAAGGGCTGAGCCCTGCGACAGGCTGGGGGACGTAGCATTTTTGGGCCTCCTGGGTTAAGGGAAAGTAACACGTGCATCGTCCATCTACGATCATCTACATGAGTGTCAATGACACTCATTGGTTGGCTCTCACTTTGAGTCATCACACTGGGTCAGCAGCTACCCCAGAGCCGCTGGTCAACAGTCTACCACAGAGTTCCAATGAGTTCAGTCTGGCACCCTTCCGGCCGTTCTTACGCACGGCTCCACCGTTCGCGGCACCGAGCTTTAGGCAAGAGTCCTTACGAGCGGACTGCCATGACGAGGCATCAGTGGTGCAGTCGCTGGATCCTCAGAGACCGGTGCCGTCGCGGGCCTGGCGGGGGCGTTGCACTTGGCCGATGGGTAGGTGGAGTTGGAACCATCCAAGGACTTGGGAGTTGTGATGATTTGTACATATTTGTGGCACTTTGTGCCAAGAGCTTTGAGCGCACAAAGGCAAGCTGGGGTGCAGAGTGCAGCACCTTCCATGGGCACACAGATCAGCAAAGAGCTAAAAACTCGTGGTTTCGGATGATCCTGGAAGCAGAAGAACTTGCGAGGCTGCCGGCATAATTCTTGTCACCCAGTGACTCTCTTCGCCACCCGGTGTCAAGTCCAACGATTCGTCAGACACAACGCCGGTGGAGAAGCACATAAACCAAGCAAGCTCCCCTCAAGTTCAAGTCCAGCATCATCAAGCCAAGAAGGTCCCTTTCTAACTTCAGGAACTTTAGGGCAGTCTTGCTTGAAGATCTATATAACATATTCGTTATTGCTCAGGAATGCTTGGGAGAGAGAGAGAGAGAAAGCTCACGATATACCTCAAGCATCCTCAAGTCCTGCATGGTGTAAAGATGTGCTTGCATCAAAAATGCCCCTATACCTGAAGTTAGTTATATACATGTTTTTAGATGATTACATGCCTCTCTCTCTTTTTGAAGAATGACTCGCCTGCATCACCCGCATGAGGCTTCGAGAGCAGCTACAGCGATCAGAGGCGTTTTTTGCACGGGAAAATCGGTGGGTCAACTGAGCAGACGCCAACAGGTCCTCCCACAGACCTTTGTAACCAAAGTCACCAGTGGATGGGGACAGTAGACAGCTCAGCCTGTTTTAGGATCTGACATGCTTTGATTCTTTGTTTTTCCCCGTGGTTCAAAGGGATGTTTGGCTGTAGCTGCTGGCGACCCAGAGTGTAAACCGGCCATTGAAATATTTGAAGATGCATTGGTCTTACTTGGTGTGCTGCTTTCCCATATATATATATATGGGGTGATCGGCATGTGAACCATTCATGTATTGGTGTCGCCTGGTGTTCTACGCTTCCTTCCAAAAATTTGGCCACTCTATACCTTCAGATGTGGTTTGTGCTGTCTACTTTACTGGTAGATCTGATAGATCTGATGAATCTCTAGATGTTTGTATTTTGATCCATGTTGATGTTGGCAACTCACGTGTCGCACATGTGGGTGGCGTCTCCACACAAGTTTCCGCCGCGCATGGACCATTTTTCCGCTGCGCACGGCCCACTTCTTCTGGACGAAGAAGTAGCACGTGACGTGCCTCACAAAAGCTAGAGTATTCTTTGGCAAGCACCAGCTAGGGCAGTGTTTGGACTTGAGCAGATGATCCAGTATTTCTCTTTTGCGGTACACAAGTTGGCTCTCAGAAGCAGGATTGCTTGCTTCGGCCACTCCCCGGCTGAGACGGCCATTCATTCACGCATGGAGCACCGTCTCAGGAATCGGTTCGCGCTGGCGTCTCAGGAATCGGATCCAGAGGTTGACACATGGGTTGCGTGACGAAGTGACGGAGGCTCGTTCGTTCGACACATCGGCGATCCAGATACGACTCAGTCAATGTCCGATGTCCTGAAGAAGAAGTTTGGGTGGTTTTGACGGCGCCCCGGGAAGCAATGGGTTTCCGGTGCTTTTGTTCAGGAGATGTTCCTTAGGAAAGGGGGCCCATTCCTCAACAATATGTGCCCCCCTAACAGACTCAACTCTTCAAAGGACCCTTCTATATTTAATTTTATATATTAGATTTGTATGTTATATGTGTTATGAATATACATATCATATTACTCAAAGAATCTAAAAGTCTACAAACTTGAAGCCACCGCTTGTTCTACTGGTCCCTCACAGTAGAACACACGTTCTACTCAAAGAACGAACCTCACGTTCCTTTCTCTCAAAGAAATGCCATCCGTTCCAAGGCCTTCCACCTCCATTCCCGCGAGTCGGCCTTGGAGGCGGCGCCGAGGAGCGAGTAGCGAGTGGCTACTCTCGGTCGGTTTGGGGGGGTCCGACATGACCTGTAACAGGAAAGGTAAACATCACTTATTGGTACTTATTTTAGAGAAAGGCCTGCAACCTAACCATCATCCTCCGGACCCAGGAAATCGGATACGTCCGTTGGGATGGGCCAAGATGGGATGTCGGAAGACGGTCATGGATCGGCTCGCCGTGTCTCGCCGTCTTGAAATCAGTTCGAAGAAGTCGAGACCTCATGGTGAAGTCGTTCGAAAGAAGCCTGTTGAGCTCGCTTGGTCGTGTGGATTTGTCGAGAACCATCACTATCCACGCAGAATCCATCATCATCATCATCATCATCATCATCATCATCATCATCATCCACATCCATAAACCCTGACTATCCACTCATTATGGTGGAGTGATGTGCGCTGGAGAGTGTGCAAATCGACCTGCAAGGCAGAAGTGCTTCGTGCACAAAGAGTTGCGGTGAGGGCCCAAGAGGACGTCCTCATCGTCATACCAAGTCGCGATGGCGAACATCGAAACAGACATTCCATGGTGGTTCTAAATATGTGTTTAAAGGGTTGTTTGATGCGTGTTTGATTTAAAAAAGGCACTTGTTGTTCATGTGGTGTCATGTGTTGTCCCTGATTTCACTGGGCATGCGATGCCCTGCAGAAGATCAAACTGAGGATCAGATGCAGGAGAACCTCTCCAAGGAAGCTGCTCTTGCAGGCGGCCTCAGGTCGCCCCGGGTGCACTTAATCGTCAAGTCCTTCCAAAAGGTTCTTACTCTCCCTGGAGCTAATATCCAAGTGGAAAAATAATGAAAACTGTAGAGGAACATTATCTTCCAAGGGGCCATGCCATCCACATCCATGTTAGTTCCAGGAAGTGTAAGAAGTTCTTGGTTGGGTTGAGGGGTTCGCTCCTGATACGTTGGTCAGAGCCCTTTTGTTGACTAGGAAGGGTGGAAGGCCCTTGCAAATCACATCTTACGATGCCCACCATCTTTAGACAGAACAGCAATTCGTTTCGCCTTTGGGGTCTCCCAAGCTTTCGCCTTCGGCATCTCGGCTCTCAGCTATGTCCTGCTTCCTTCAGCCACCGGCCCACCTGCGATCCGCCGCCGCAGCGAGTGTTCGATCGATCCGCAGCGAGTGGAGAAGCGCTCGCGGCCGTCGACCGGAGACCGGGAGGAGCTGGAGAGATCCAGTGGCTCAGTGGTCAAAGTGACGGAGGGGTTGTGCAAGTGGCGTCAAAAACGCTGTTCATAGGCAAGTCACACGGGAGGACTGGTCACTTCTTGAGGCGATGCTTGTGTCCCTCTTGAGTTTGGTCGACCTCCAGGTTGAACGTAATTAGATTGACAACTTTCATCCTCAGTCATGTCTGTCTTCACCATCTTCACCCAGGTGATTTCGAGGGGTTGTTGCATTTTTCAAGCTGTTGAAGGATAACAACAGACCTGAGGGGCCTGTTCAATCGATGTCTCATGAGTTCTTCTTCGATGCAAAGGCTTACGCACACACGTTCGCACGTGCTCAGGTGCTGGTGGTGGTTGGAGGGGTTGCACGCTTCTTCTCCCAGACGAGACGGCTGAGGATGAGTCGCCTTGCCAGTGCCTCTGAGGGTGTGGCTTGGCAGCCAGACGCGGGATGGTGGGAAGGGTAGAAATGAAAACGGCATGAACATGCTCTTCACTTTCATGCCTGTTTCAAGGATTGATCTAGGATGTGTTTTGATCTACTTGGGGTGGCTCAACGCTGGCTCCTGTCTTCCCTTTCGCATATTCTGCTGATTGTATTTCTTGCAGCTGCCGGCGGTTGAAGCAGGGGACCAACTGGAACATAAAGAGATGTCTGCAAGAGACTACCCTACACCCGTTGGTTCTTGTTTATTTTGTTGTTTGACCTGGGGGGGTCCCTCTGCTGGGTGACGACCTGCTTCAGGATGCTTCACAGGTCGTGGGCCATTGGAATGTGGACACATCCGATCACACGCACATTGACTCGCGTGTTTCTATCGAGGTTGCTCAATTTGCTTGTCTTTCAGCATGGTTCAGCACTGAACCTGAGCTTTTCCTGTGTGATGATGTCCTCATGTCTCAGATTTTTCTGTATCAGGATGTATCAGGTGAGGGGGCGTGGCATTGTTTGGTTGCCCAGGTCATCAACACACACGCCTTGCCGCCAGCGGTTCACTGGGGAACTTCGGCAAAAGAAGCGCTTCCAGCCATGCTCAAGAAACTGCATCTTGCCTGATTGTAGTGAGGCAATAAGCTCCCGAAGAAAGGCTTCTACATGCTTCTACCATATTCAATCATTTCATTGCTTTCTTGCTAGCTAAGAGAACTATATAAAAATACAAACTATTTTAGATTAATTCTAATAGCTTTTTGTTACTACTAGTAAGGCACCTGTTACTACTAGCGTGGCACTTGTTACTACTAGCTTCTTTAAACAGAGAAGCGGTCCTCTTTCTCAATTCGAAACGGCTTCCAGTCCAGATCCATCGGTGCCAGTCCGAAACCGCTGCTGGCGGGGCCCCACCCCGGAGTCTTTGACTGGACAACGACTCATGTAGACTCTTGGTGGCTAAGGCCCCCATTGGGACTGTACAACTTCTTCAATGTGGGTGTTTAAATCAAGAGTCTACATGAGTTTACATTAGCATTGTGGGAGGAGGCATGTGTCGTCAGCGTCAGGTCACGAAAGGTAGCTTGAGCTACCTGAGTTCTCCTTGCTTTAGCAAAAATGTATTACAATCAGGAGTTGGGATTGTGCATTGAGTTTGGTCCTGTAAGAGTTGATTCGCCGTCATGGACTTCTACCAGGGTTGCTTGTGATTGCCTCCTACCTTTCGTTCACCCCCTCCTCTCTCAAGTCCAAAGTAGCACCCCCTTCTGCGGCTACCCTGAGTGGCAAAAGAAAAGTACTGAGCATTGAGGACGAAGCAATCTAAAGCTACAAACGACCACCAAAGCTACAACTGTGTCAGGGAATGGGGTTCTTCGGTCAGCCTGGTCGCTGGGTTTCAGCTCTAGCGGTGTGCTTGGAGCTTTTGAATATTGATTTGCACATGTCATGAGAGGGCACCTTAGCTGCAGATTCGCTTACCCATTCGCTTGAAATAGTCTTCAGAAGGGGGAGTCTCAATGACAAACCAAATTAGCCCATGCACTTTCATGTAATTACTCTACCATTATGTGATCTACTATGATCTATTGATATACTTCTGTGAGATTGACCAACAATTCTGTGCAACTGCCTTGGCTGAGGCATTGCAACCGTGCCTTTCTGATGGTGAGCCGCACGCTTCGAGAAGGGCATAGTGCTGTGGAAGAGATTGTCAGTGCGCTGGGAGAGACCTGCGTTGGCGTTTGGGATGGGATGCCAGCACATACTCCTCGTGATGCAGTGCTAGATGCTGCCCAACAGGCAGCTTGTGTTTGCGGCGCTTTTTACGCTGGTGAAATGCCAACCCAGTGGTCGACCAGGGCTTCGGATGTCAATGAACTGTATGCTGGTGGTGCATGTTTTGGTGCTTCAGTAGGAGGATATCACCATCGACCGTGTGTGAAGTCTCCATGTGTTCCATGTTCCTGCCCACCACACAAGAACTTAGCGGCATCCACACAGATCTACACTATTCTACAGGTATGATCCTCCTGCTTCGACGTGCGCTTATCGCATGGGTCGTGTTTGTCGTCCCGATCCCCGACATCGTCGGGAGACCCCCGATCGTCGAGCGTCCTCCAGGCGCGCGAGGCCCATGCGGACGTCATCGTCACCATCGGCGGCGGCAGCTTGACGGACGGCGCCAAAGTCGTGCGCATCGCACTGGAGACGCAGGCGACGGAAGGCGGGCGCGACCGAGCGCGACGCGAGCGGGATCTCGGTGGTGACCACGTGGAGAGGGGACACTTACGCAAACCCCTGGGAATTCTCGCTCCTTCCTCAAGAGATTGTAGAAGACTTGCATGTTCAATCATGTTCATCCAGCCGCTTCGATGTGGTTAGAGTTCGATCGGAGTTCGCACGGTTCACGGTAAAATGAAGGTGCGATTTTGTGTGACCCTGCAGGTGAAAGCCTCGGACAGTATTGCTTCAAAGGCGACGTCTCCGCGGTGAAAGACACCAAGCTCATCCCGCAGGTGTGTGTGTGTGTGTGTGTGTGTTTTTGTTCCGCGCGCATCGACGAGACGCCGATCAGGTCGGTGAAACGCCGATCCTTTCGGACCTTCCGAAGTTGAGATTCCATGTTGATTTTCGGAAGTGCTGGGCAATCACGCGGGCGAATTCCACTTATAGACTGGACTGCGGCGCTGCGGGACAAGTTTTCCAAAGAATCAGTTTGGTCGTGCAAACGGTCCCGGTAGATATGATATGCAGATATGCATGTTCATTCGTTGAGATTACAGTGCCTGATGACGTGTTTGGACAAGTTTTTGCATGTTGCATGCAACCCCCAAGCCAGCACTTTCTATATTATTGGAACATCCAATAACCGTTGCAATGTGCCCCCAGGCACACATGTACTTTTTACCGTGTGTGTGTGTGTGTGTGTATGCGTTTGTGATAGTGATGCTGATGTCAAGGTTCCTCATCATGAGGTGGATGTGGCCTTTGGATTAGGTGTCCCATTAATTACTAACCACCTGCAGACAGTCGAGAAGAAAAGAAAGGCCTGCACCCAGGCTCCATCATCCTTCATTATCCACTGGGCCTCAGGGAATGGGAGCTCTCCAGCCCCCCTCCGGTCCTGAGACGTCACGTCGCACCATGTGGTGACACCAGTGGTCAACCCGGATGGCAGGGTTCCGAAATTGGAAGGTCGGGTCGTCTTCCTATACAAAGCAGGGAGTGCCATAGCCATCCACCAAACCATGTGATGTGTTCGCCGGATGTGCCATCCATGTGTTGGGATGTGTTGGGAACATCCTCCCCTGCAGATGAGCAAAACCGTCCCCCAGAACCGGATTGCTCTTAGAAATGGACCTCTCTCACCTGTCCAAAAAAATCAAACTTATTTAAAAAACAGGTCAATTCCCTAAGGGTGAGTGAGGAAAAGAGTATCATACTCTCACTGCAGCATCTTCGGGATCCACTAGCGCCGTTTGCAGGTCTCGGTGCCCACCACGCTGAGCGCCGGCGAGTTCGCCCCGTACGCGGGCTGCACGGATCCAAGGAGCAAAGTCAAAGAGACCTATGAGCCTCGGAAGGGAAAGCGCCAGCTGGGCCACAGGTGGCCAGCTGGACAGGTGGCCACGGTTCGTCCGTAAACCCACTCCAAACCCAGAATCAAACCGGACTGGCATATTGGCCGATCAGTGACCCATGGGTCAATGTAGGCAAATACGCCATACATGGAGTGTTTGGGAAAGATATAGCCAAAAATGTGAAAAGAGATGGATTCCAATGATAGCTCCCGTTAGCAACCGGTTGGCGAGCTCGAGCGGGTTTCGGGTTTGGCCCCGGGTTCAGCCCGTTGATTGACCTGCTTGGAAGAGGTGGGACCCCTCGAAATGACCAAGGAACCAGGGCCGATCAATCTCCAGATTCCAGATTCTAACCTTTTCAAGTCGTTGCTAAATAGCGATTCCAATCAAGATGCATTGGGGTCCATTGGGGGTGGACTTGTGGACCACAGGGCCTGCTTCACCTTTGGATGGTGGTGGCCCAAGTAGCTGGAACATTTGGGTTGCTTTGAGGTCCCCTGGTTCAAAACATGAACAGCTTCAGGATTCAGGGCTTTAGAACGCTTGAAGGCAGTTGGGAGCTCGCCTTTTTTCATTGGTTCTTCAAACTACTGCATTCTCAAGATGTTCACCCAAGTGACCCAGTCAGCACAACCTTGTTACATGCCTGCAGGCCCTCAGACGCACGGAAAAAGAACTGAAGTCAAAGAGCTGTTGTTAATGGCTGACTGTGAACTTGAGCAGCGAGGGCAGAGTACCACTGCACCGGTTGGGAAGAAATTTGATTAGCAGCCCCAGCTAACACCCTCCAAAAAGCAATCATGTCAGGTCTTCCGCGCGTGGGCATTTACACACCGTCTTCCGTGTGTTTTTCAGTGGATCCACACCGCGTGTTGACCACGCCCGAGGTGTGGCTCGATGCGCTGCCCAAAGCCATCGTGCTAGACCCTGCCTTAGCGCAACTGACGCCTGAGTGGCTCTTTCTCTCCACAGGCCGAGAGTCTCGAGTCTCGCCGAAGCATCTGCGTGACGGTGGTGGGAGAGACGCGCTGTTGCATGTAACTCGGCGCTGAAGGTTCGCTCCAAATGGCTCCGTGCCATTTGGAGCTTACGTATCTTACGTTTCTGTAGACCTACAGATCCCGCAACTGCCCACCAAATCGAACCAGTCGCTCAGCCCATCACGAGACGTGGGACGTGGCCCAGCCCATCATCGATGCTTCGAACGCGAGGCCTTCGGTCAGTGGACCATTGTGTGGAATGCCTTTGTAGCCTCTCGGGGAATCCCTACAGCGACGGCCTAGCTTCGGCGGCCTTGACGCTCTTGGTGCGCGGCCTGCAAGGGGCCAAGCAGAAGCCGAGCGACCTCGATGCGCGCAGCGACTGCCACTTGGGGATTCTGCAGGCGAGCAACGTTGCTTGGGAATCAGGGGAGACAGCATGAAAATCAATAAAGTTAAGAAAAGAAAAAGCAAAAATGAAACATGAAAGAGCCAAATACCGGAGAGGTAGAGAAAGGATCTGCAGGGAATTGACGAGTGGGTTTTCGACTTGGATTCCTGACTTGGAGGGTGGTGGGATATTCCAGTTGACGGCAGGTTGCCATACACAAGCTTTGTAAGCTTCGATTCTCTTCAGATCCTCTCCAGGTTGCCATAGGTCTAATGGGTGCAAGTAATTGGTCCACTCTCTTTGTTGACTGCACTTCCTGGGATATATTTGTCTGACGCGCTCCCCAGAAGAAGCATAAGATGCAACACCCCACACAGTCTGTGACAAGTCGTTTGATGTCGTTTGTGCCATCGATACCTCTGATTTCCTTCCAGCAGTTGCCAAAAACAACTTGACATTGTTTAGTAATGTTTAGTAGGGATTCTAGCGTGCGGCAAGTGAGGGCACCAGGGCAAAAACTTGGTCTACCATGCGCCCGCCTCATGCGTGTTTGGATGCCGGACCGGCCAGGCAGTCCAGGCTTGTCAGAGCGGACCCAAGATGGGCGCCTCACATGCCATCGGCCACCTGGACAGGTGCAGTGGCATGGGAGCTTTTCCGCCCAAAAAATCATCATTTTGTGTGGGTCTTCAGACTCTTGATTCATCAAATCCGCTCAAACATGATGTAAAACCATGTAAAACCTCCTCATATGGGAAGTGGACATATCATCATGTGCCGAATTTCCGAAGGTCCTCAAACTACTTGAAACTAAGACTGCCCCAGTCTTTGCTCCAACAGCTGACAGTTCAGTTCAGCATTCTGTCTCCCCATGTCACCAAGGCCACATCTTAGGCCCTGCCTTCGACGTGCCCCATGGCTACACCTCCTGCGTAGCTCTTCCGGCCGTTCTCCGCTGGAACGCCGAGGTGGGCAACGGCCGTGTCATGTGTCGTCGGGTGCATTGGCGTCGGTGTGGCAGGTCGGGCAACATAGAGAGATATAGAGCAATGTTTGGTGGTAACATGGTCAGTTGGTACTTGCTCAAAACCTGTGTAGAGCAGGCCATGTGTTTTCCATACAAATTTCATCAGCCAAAATCTAAACTGCAGATCTCTCATTTGAGCGACGTCACAGGATGTCCGCTGAACTGCGATCGCCCGCCCAGGATGAGCCCAGCCGCGCGAGACAGGCGTTGGTCGTCTCAGCTTTCCAAGCCGCCGGCGCGGGCGGCGCGGGCGGCAGACGGCCAAGGACGACGCTGGGCAAGTCACGACGGTCATCCTGGATGAATGACATATTTATCCCCGTTCCGATTTCCTGTATGAAATGGGGTGTCTCAAGTCCACTACGTTGAGGTTTTTAAATCCCCCGTGATTGATGGCTTATAAAATGTAAATGCAAATTCCAAGACATATTTTATAAACATGAGGGTTTGTATGTTTCTATTTTTTGAGGATGACTACATAAGATCCGGAGTATCGATGTACATAGGTCATTTAATAAACTTTACTAACTTGGACACTGAATGACAGTAATAGAGGGCAGGTGAACCCCGTGATATATTCTATATATCTTAACCTATCATAACCTGTGCTGGTCATTTTATAAACTAGCTGGTGTTTCATTTTATAAACCAAAAAAACCTATCCCACACATTTTGTAAACCCCCAGAGCTTATAAAATGAAAAATCGACGCCCCTATGAACAATCACGGGGGATGTTTTTAATATGTTGCCAAAAAAAAGAGGTTGACGTTGAGGCACCTCTTTTGTAGAGATGAGGATTTTGTAGCGCAAGGCCTTGATGCTTAGATATAGAGGATGGGTCCCTGCAATTTTGTAGTGCAGACGTGTCATTTAAAGATGATTATATCCGATGTTGGGTACGTCCATAATGTAGTGCAAATTTCTGCAGCCATTTTGGTGACTCAAAATCGGGTTCATACCATTTTGTAGTCAAACACATTGACAACATAGAGGTTGGGTCCCACCACTTTTGTAGTGCAGATTTCCTGTTTCTTATATGATACTATCCAAGCATTTTGTAGAGAAGCAGGGTTGGGTCCTTGCAAAATATATAGTACAGTCGCAGCAGTAGTAGCAGCAGCAGGAGTAGTAGTGGTGGTGGTGGTAGTAGTGCCAGTAGTCGTACTAGTAGTAGTACTAGTAGTTGTACTAGTAGTAGTCCTAGGAGTAGTAGCAGTAGTAGTAGTAGTAGCAGTGGGCCAGGATATGGCCAGTGATTTGGGTCCAACTCCAAGTCGGGAATGTTGCTCTGGTCCAGTGACTTTGACCTGGTCCAGCTGCGCCGGCCGGCCTGAAACTGGTCAATGGTCGATGGCACTTGCGGCTTACGAAGCCGCGAAGCACTTACAACACGACGTAGTTGAGGGTCGTTGGGGCCATAAGTGCCGTGTACTGTAACAGGTCTCAAGGAGTGTCACGACAAACTACGTAGTAGACATGTCAACGGAGTTGGTGATGAGTCCGAAAGGGCAAGATCAAGGTGAGAAGGGTTTTGGACATGAAGAATGAAAAGCACTCAAAGTGATGAGTGTTTGGGAGCGAGCAAGCTGCGACAATATCTGATTGATGCTGAGCAGAGCTGTGGAACCGCTACCGCTGAGTGTCTTTGTGTGGGGTGTTTTGCAAAACCATCAAGCAGGAAACGGTTCAACCAAGGACTGCAGCTGACTGTGTGGCTGGTCTGGTGGCAGACCTAGGCGGGCATGGTGGAGCTCGTGGTGAAGAGTGCAATGAGAACGCACACTGAGTCACTGGGGATTTGGCACAACAACCCGAGCGTCCCACCCCCACAGATGCCTATCATATCTTACAAATGTTTGGAGGTCGGAGAGCGAGTAAGAAAAGGGAGAGAGAGAGAGAGCGCGGTCGAGCGAGAGCGAGAATTGATGAGTCAAACGCAGTCGCTGGTGTTTCGGCTCCCAGGCCTTCCTCTCACTCCGCTTCGGCTCCCAGGCCTTCCCGTGTCGTTGAAGGACGTAGGTGTGGCCAAGGGCGACCTGGAAGACTGCGCCCGGCGGACGATGCACGACCCCCTGGTGCAGAGCAATCCACGCAAGATCGATGGATGGGAGGCACTGGGGAAAGCCCAGGGGGAAGAGGAACCAGCTGTGACATAGAGGGCCCAGAGGGCATGTGACATAGCGGGGGGGAATAGCTTTGACAGCAAATTCGATGCACCACAGAGTTTCATGCAGTTGTTAGTAACAAGAAGATACTAGGTTGGAGGCCATCGCTAGTAGGTTGGAGGCCATTACTACTTACTACTATAGTAGCAAGAAGCTACTAGGACAGAGTAGGTTTCTAGCTTGGAGGAGGCAGATTCACAGGGAGATTCGGGATAGTCCTGAAATGTCCTGAGAGCTTCCTGAGGGCATTTGTCACTCCCTTACACACTCACTTCCACTCATTCACTTTCACTCACACCAACTCATCTCTGGACTCACTCACTTTTTCACTCATTCAGTTGCACTCTGTGGGTTGTCCTTGTGCTTTCCTGTTGTTGAAAACGCCGAAAAGCCTCACAATGTGCGGTTATCCAGTCCTTCAATTGCAGGCTTTGTTGCCCATGACACCCCATGGCCCCATGACAAAAACGGGTGAACATGTTCCGTCACGATCAAAACCACCTAAGCAGCTCAAGTCGTGCTAGGTTGACACCAATTGCTGCAGTAGTGGAGTAATGTGGAGTAGTGGGCTTTGAGGAGGGAGAGTGGAAAAAAGGAACGATCCCCAGCTGCCGGTGTCCGATGACACAGCGTCCCTGCTGCGAGAAGACCCTGTTTTGGGACCTCCCATCGATCCAACTGGAGTCGTTTTGGAAGGGGTGAGGCAGCCAAGAGATATCCCAACATGAGATCTGCACACTCCCCGAAACAATCACGGAAGTGAAAAACCATCTGCTGGTACAGAGGAAAACGATGGAAAACCAGTCTTCCATCCACCGTTCGAGGATGTGAAGTCCATCCTGGAACTCTGCGGGCCCTTCGCGGAGAAGTCGGATCAAGCCTAGACGACCGCAAAAATAAGGAGAGCGAGCGTCGAGCGTCTGCACCAACTAGTGCCGGTTTCTTTTCTTTCAATGGCGCCATGGAGCTAGCCAATGCTGGTGCACCAAGATGCGAAAAGGGCTGTACCGCCATCCTCGTCACACCCAAACCTGAAGAAAACTGTGCCTGAAGATAAGTTTCCAGTCGGCTGAGTTATGCATATGTTGGGTTTTTGCACAGTTCCGCGCTGTACCCCTGTTAAACGTCAAATCGCGCAGTCCAACAGTCGATCAGCGGATTGAAGTGGGAAAAAATATCCCGGAGCAGATTCTAGAGCCATCCGCCCGACGGATAGTATAGAAATACAATGCGCATGTAAATTGTACACTATACAGTATACACAGACCATCACAGACCGTCCACCTAGAGCCGCCAGAAGTCGGCACCTGAGGAATCAAAGCCACGCCGGGTGGAGCGAGCAACTGAGGTCGCTCAACTCCGGTCTCAGCTCTCCTTGGCCAAAGCCCTCTCAGAGGCACTGCAGGGCACTGAAACCGGCAGCTGAAACAGGGTTCCGAGCGAGGGTGGTAGGACTTTCCCAGCCCCTTGGACCGGCTCAACACGATGTGGGGCTTTCAGCCACTAAGAATTTCCATACTTTTGGCTGAAGTGGCATCCAAGTGTTCGGCTCGTTTCAGGAGAATGACCTTTGCTGACGTACTAGGTGTTTGGTGATTTTGCTAATTTCATCGGACAATGGGTGTCCAAATCTCAAAGACTCAAAGACTGCAAAATGACTATTTGATAGCTTGTTTCTTCGACTATGAATTCTGTTTGTCGGGGTGATGCTTCGCAATTCCCCACCAGAAAGGTGAAAACCTGCCGAACAGAGTGTGGCTGGCACCCCTTCGAGCCAACTTGTTTCTCCTTTTCTTTCTGCCGGTGTCAAGACGCATGCAGGGCAAGAAACACTTCTGTAGAACCCTATATCATATTTTTCCAAAATGGGTTCTATTATGTTCTATTACGGTTCAAAGATGTTCTCGGTATTTGTCCATGGTTCCAATAAGATCTGATACTTGTACTTCTTCCCTTTGCATTCCTAGCTCCTAGTAGCTTCTTGTTCCTACTAGCTTCTGGCCTCCAACCTACTTGCGATGCACCCCGACGAGGACCCCGACGCCGCGGCGGCGATCTCGTCGGTCCTGGATGCTACGCGCAAAGATCGCGGGGCAGAGGTGCGCGCCGAAGCGAAGGCGATCGGTGGGGACGAAAACAGGGGAGACCAGAGAATTCGTGTAGATAAAGCATGGGCCATCATAGGCCTATGATTCCACAGGATTCCTGATATAGTTTGTGGCAAATTAGAATAGGGATCACTAGAGGAATTCTCAACCAACGATGTTCGATAAGAGGGATTCGGGATTCTCCATGTCACACTGAGGAAACCAACGATCTAATAGTACACCCTGGAAAATGAACATGGAATCTCAAAACCACGTCGGGTTGTAGAGGAAAAATTGTCTTCCGAAGGGTCTACTTTTCAGGTTCCATGTGGGCCTTTTGCCGGGTGTAGGATCTTTCAGGAGTTCGAACGCTAGGCGTCCCGCGTGGATTGTTGGCACCAGGTGGCACCGAAGCGACGAATCAAACGCTCGATTCAAACGTCCTGCTCACGAATCCTGAGATTCCTTGGAGGACTCCTTGGCTGGTGCCCAAGCCAGGAATCAAGACGAATCGACATGGAGTTCGAACAGAATGGTTCCTATTTGTATCGATTTGTGTTGTTTGTAGCTCGGACTCTCCATGTGTGTTTTGGTGTTTTGTGCCAGTCATGCACCTGCGAAGTAGATGGACATGTATGGAAGCATGGAAGCATGGGGCATTGGTCACACGAAAAACCCAATCCAGGATGTTCCGCCAAATGATTTGTGGAACCCACAGACATGGCTCGAGAAGCCCAGGCTCATCACTCTTGGCTGACTTCTTTTCGTCAGATTCAACTCTGGGAGATTCTGGGAGTTGATTGTTTGAGTGCCTTAAACCTCGCAGACTTTGGGTTAAACCATCAAGCCGATGAAGTGCTGTCTTCGAATCTTCTTGATCATCTGGTCCATGTCAACCAGGCCGGCATTTCTGGGGGTGCACCTTTTGGCTTTCAGACCGGCGGTCTTGTTGGGCGCATCCTCCTCCCCATCCCTCTCCCCCAGGCGGGGCCCGGACGCGTCGACGCGGGCAGCTGTGTGGACTGGATATCCCCTGGTGATTGGTGGCCCTCATTCGAACAGGACGGTGGGCCCCTTTGAGCCTTGATACGCGGGAATGGAGCGAAGACAATCTGGTTGGGGCGGGGTATACCCTCATCATCTCATTAAGCTTTTGGCATTAATCCCAAAGGGGTTGATGATTTGTCAGGCGTTTCATCCGAAGAGAGTTGAGGGCTGGTCAATTTGAGAATCCAGTCCTCTTTTTGACTTTTTTGGTGTGGTGTTTCGATGTGTTTCGTGTTGGTGCTTGGCAACATTTGGAAACTAGAGTTCTGCATTTGGTGATGATGGTCCAGCCACAGGTGTTTGCAGACTTGATGATGGGCAGTTCAGATCACCATATGTAGCGTACTGCATGATCGTCGCATCCAGAGTTTGGGTCTTGTGCATCACGTATGGCCGTATGGCGCACACTCAATGCCACTGGAAGGGGCCGGGGGGATCGCAGGGTGTTTGGCCCATCGGTTTGGACTGCCCATCTCGCCTTGGCACTTCCTTTGGCTTGCTCGCATGTGTGTTTGATGGCTCGATGTGGGGCTCCCACACTCGGGACCAGGTGCCAGCCGGCTTCGATGGAGGGCCGAGAGCAAGAACAGGCCGAACTTGCAAGCAGAGTCTTGGTCTTTCTAGGGCGGGCCACCCTTTTTTCTCCTCGCATCTGGGACATGCTCGGGCACATTGTCACAAGATGCAACTGCATGACTCAAGCAGTTCGCAGAATCCTTTTTTCCCTTTTTTGAGATGCGGCATGGCCACAACAAATTACCTTGTGTATCCTTGTGTTGGTTTGGTGTTGAGGGAAGCTATAGGTTTTCCTTTATGGACGGGCAGAGCTCCATCAGATTTTGGTTGGTGTTCTTGAGATGTACGCTCATCATTCGCAGATGCAGTCCGTTCTGGGCGCATTTGTTGCATTTGTGGAGCTGTTGAAGTCTCCCGAAGATGGGAAGAGGGTGATCAAATGGAGAGCACTAGAGATACTAGAGGCACCCATGCCCTCGACTGAGGCGATCCAATCCAGAGTGACCTCCAGGCCTGACGGGAGACATACCTGCGCTGTGCACATGAGACCTCCTTGCCGTGAGTCAAATCCTTTAAACCTCAAGTGTTGAGGTGGAATCATGTCTGAACACTATCCAGCATTGGAGTGGGTGTTGTGCTCGTTTGTTTGTCACCCTTCGTGCTCAATTGGCGGGAGGCTCAGACATTGGCTACCAGCAAGGACGGAAATGGTGGGTATGGAGGCAGGAGAGTCCGGAGATTAAAAGATGTTTACTTCAACACGTGGAGGCCACCAATGGACTACGTGGACCTCTCATGTCTACCTTCCCAATGATGGATGCTGGAGAAGGGTCGATGATGGTCGATGTTTGGATGCTCCACTTCCATGTTCCCTCCACTTCCATGATTGTCCTATTAGACATAGCTTTGATCATGTTCGATCACAGGAAAAGTTCCGGAAACCCGCACCCCCCTGGCCCATGCCTCAAGAAAAGCGGCACTGCTATTTCAAGAGTTCGGATTGCGTGTCATTTGGAGTGTGCTTCCTGAAAATCTCAATGTAATGATTAAGGACCCCTAATTAAGGGACCCCTATTATTTCATTTTGTCCGACTTTTCCTCAAATGAGGATTTCTTTCAAAAGAAGCCTTCTGGCCTATGTTCCCAAAGTGGCTACCCAACCCCCATCCACCTTTCTGGGGCCCATGTTGCAATGCTAACCGACCGTCTCGTCTCTTCCCTTCCTTCAGCCCCTTTAATTGAATGCCATGGTCCTATTGCCCGTTGATATTCCTCCAATTAACATCAATTAACTTCCAACACCTTTTTGCTCATGAAATTTAGTTTTAAGGGATCCCTCCTCACGTGAGGAAGAGATTTAGTCTTTGGGAATCTCTCCTAATGAAGAGATTCAGTCTTGGATCAGGTCATCCAAATGTCACCCGCCCCGAAATAGCAGACCTTCTGGGCGGTTGCTAATCATGGGTTGACCTTTAGTGGATATGACCTGAAATAAAGGAGAGTGTCTACTGTAGCCTCTAGAGAGGCACTTCCTGGGGATGTCGTACACCTTTGGCAGACTATATACCTCCTTGCTCAGTCCAGTCGTTCCTGATCTTTGTGTCCAGCGGCGGGTCGTCAGGCATCCAGCGGCTCCCGGAGGGACCGCAGTCCTGCGGCTTCACTTGGATGGCAAGTCCAATCCTTGGCAAGGTGAAGTTTCTTGACAAGAGGCTTTGGGGTCGGTCGCGGCACCAACTTGGACCCTTTTGTTACAAGGTGGATGGGTTGGCAAGAGGCTGGGGTGCTCAGTGCTGCTCTTGCAGCAAGATTCCGGTCAAGTCTAGGAAATCTACTAGGTCGTCTTGAATTGTCCACCTTGAGCCACCAAGGTGGCAGTGTGGTCCATGCTGCGGACCACCAAGACTGCCCGAAACACCGGTGTCCCCAACGAAAACCACCAACGACCGGTGAAGGCGTTGAGGTCCGTTGCACCCTTCAACCATGGCCCCGGTCGTCCGTCTTGATCGTTTCTTGGTGGCTCAAAGAGAGTTTCCTACTCCAAAAGCCCTTCAACCGAGCTGTTTCTCCCAGTGAGGTTGACATAATACCTTGCGAGATGTTTTGTTGTTTCTCCATGGTCATCCTTCCAAAAGTCGATTGAAACTACTAAACATCTAAGATGTTTCATGTCTTTGCCGCCATTTGCGTGTGATTGGAAGACCACATGTCTTGCTGCCCCACGCCTAGGTTCGATGCCCGGATGAAAGGTGCCCATCTAGAGACCTCGGAGGCGACCTCCGTCACCATCGTCAGCCAGCAGCTGCTGACGCGGCTGGACCGGGGCGACTTCGTGATGCGGATCGCG